ATCGGCTTCTTCAAACTCGAACAGATTGCAGCCCCTCCCTCCCCAGCTTTTGGCATGCAGATTGCTTCGGACAAACTCCAGAAGCTGTCTGCCAGCTTGCAACTATTCTGGAGGGTTCCGAGGGAAAGTTCTTTGACCCATACTTAAAAACTGAAGGAATGCTAGTCCCTTCAGTTAAAAGCTTGAAGAGCTGCATCCCAGGAAGAAATGCTTCAGAGATCTCTCCCCAGGCGTGCCACCAGTTGGCTGTCTTCCTGGAAGTGAAGTTTATTCCTGATTTTTGAAACTACTTGTTTTTCTTTCACTTAAACAGAAGATTTTTCTATAGATTTATGATCTAGGATCTTTTATAGACCTCCATTAAAAATATACATAGAATTTTGAAGTTTGTAAATTAATGACACCAGGCACAATAACCAGATACAGAATTGACAGTAAAAATATTGAAGTGCTGTAAAGCTTTTGACTTTTAGAATAAGCTAGTAAAGTAAAGGGATAAGAAGTCAAGAAATATTTCAGACACTAGCTCTTGGCAGAGCAGTTATGAAAGTTTTGGAAAGGATATTCAGATGACATGATGTATCATCTATACCTACAAAGATCAGAAAAGAGCAAGCAGTGGTATTCTTTGTAGGACCAAAGCTGGACTTTGAAGAAGCAAGATAAGAATATTACTGATGGTTTTAAACTTTGATGTTGGAGAAGAATCCTGAGAATACTGTTGACAACCAAGAAAATGGATCATCAAAGAAATCACCTAATTTGTTCTTAAGAAAAAATGATCAGGGTCAAATTATTCTACTTTAGACTTAGCTTTCGATAAAAGACTCTAATTTTGGTAAAGGTGAAAGAAAAAAGAAAAGGGATGATCAGCCACAGGGTGGATGGGCTCAGGTATAGTGACAGTAAGTACACAACTAAAAGACCTGTAAGACCAGAAGAGGGACAGATTATCATGAAAAAAAATATATGTTGCTATGAGTTGACACCAGCTTGATGGCTCATAGTCAATCAGTTAATGTATTTCAGACTGATATGGGAACATCTTAGTGGCAAAAGTGGCATAATATTCTCTCTGATGAGATCTTTAGATTCCTGGGGGAGGAGCAGCATCAGAAGCAGAAGTTGGTTAGTAGTCATGTGAAAGAACTGGCCTGGTTTCTGCAGTTGCCATATGGCCAGTCACATGTGACAGCAGCCACCTTGGCTTTTCTTTTTATCATTTTTTTCTTGCCCTGTCCTAGGAACTCTCCATGGACAACAATTAGCCATGTAATGACTAAAGTTTGTGGCAATTCTGTTGTCACAGCTGTTTTGTCTCTGAAACAGGAGAAAGATCCTGGACTGGAGGACCTAGACTAGCATTTTAGCAATAGCACGTAGACTTACAATGGGCGGAAAATTATTTGACCCCCCCTGCTGATTTTGCATGTTTGCCCACTGACAAAAAAATGATCACTCTGTAATTTTAATGGTAGTTTTATTTTAACAGTGAGAGACAGAATAACAACAAAAACAATCCAGAAAAACACATTTCAAAAAAGTTATAAATTGATTTGCATTTTAATGAGTGAAGTAAGTATTTGATCCCCTATCAATCAGCAAGATTTCTGGCTCCTAGTTGTCTTTTATACAAGCACCGAGCTGAGATTAGGAGCACTCTCTTAAAGGGAGTGATCCTAATCACAGCTTGTTACCTGTATAAAAGACCCTGTCCAATCAATCAGATTCCAAATTCTCTACCATGGCCAAGACCAAAGAGCTGTCCAAGGATGTCAGGAACAAGATTGTAGACCTACACAAGGCTGGAATGGGCTATAAGACTATCACCAAGTAGTTTGGTGAGAGGGTGACAACAGTTGGTGCAATTATTCGCAAATGGAAGAAACACAAAATAACTATCAATCTCCCTCAGTCTGGGGCTCCATGCAAGATCTCACCTCATGGAGTTTCAATGATCATGAGAATGGTGAGGAATCAGCCCAGAACTACATGGGAGGATCTTGTCAACGATCTCAAGGCAACTGGGACCATAGTCCCCAAGAAAACAATTGGTAACACACTACACTGTGAAGGACTGAAATCCTGCAACACCCACAAGGTCCCCCTGCTCAAGAAAGCACATGTACAGGCCCATCTGAAGTTTGCCAATGAACATCTGAATGATTCAGAGGAGAACTGGGTGAAAGTGTTGTGGTCAGGTGAGACCAAAATCGAGCTCTTTGACATCAACTCAACTTGCCATGTTTGGAGAAGAATTACTGCCTATGACCCCAAGAACACCATCCCCACTGTCAAACATGGAGGTGGAAACATTATACTTTGGGGGTGCTTTTCTGCTAAGAGGATAGGACAACTTTACCGCATCAAAGGTGCCTGTTGGGTGTTGAGTGTTAGAGCCGGCCTGTTCTGACCCAGACAGAACTACTTGCTTTCCTGTCCAATCCGGGACAGACAGACAACTCAATGGAAATGATTGCGAAACAGATAAATATGTTTATTCAGAGAAAATACTTGCTTTTACGTTGTTGCTTCTGGATAACACATCTCTGTTCATTTCCATAGGTAAATTGATAATGAATTTTTCCCTCTTCTTCTGCATAAGCATCACATGTTAGCATAGGACCTCCAAGCCGTGTGGCTGGGAGGCATGAGGCTGGATGAACAAAGGCATTCCAAACTGGGCACGTAGCCAGTATATCCTGAGAGGAACTCCCACTGACGCATTAACATGAGATGGCTGACTAACTAAACTGCATTTCCCATAATCCATTTCTTAAGGGAACAACACTAAACTCAATAAATGCCAGAAATTTTAACATACTGATACATGCTGTCTAGTTAGGGTTACATAGAGCTATATGATTCAGAACATGGCCTTATTTGCTGGTAATGAGATAAGTATAATGGGGCCTTTGAGGGGGGAGGGGAAAGAAATGGGAATGATGGATATTGTTAGAGGGGAGAAGACAACCAGTGGTCTATTCCTATCTCTTGCAATATTTCTCTATGCCTATCATCACTGTGAGCTTACTATCAAGGAAAGCAGCTCTGCTGTTTGGTACCAATATCAGATTCTAGCCCTCCCACCACACAACTCTGATTACAGTCTACTATTGTTTTTTTATGTGCACTATTAATATGACACTTTTAATATTAAGTACATTTTTGGGAACTTTCTACTATTTCTAAGATAGAATTAATTTCAATTATTTCTTGCCAAGTAACCGATATATGATAACATATTTCTTTTCTTCAGATAGCTTTGGCACTTCAGATTAGTTTGTAGAATTTGAAAACTGAATCATCCCTAGTTGAGACTAAAATTAGACTGATGAATGTCAGAATTTGATTTTCAATATATTACTCAATTATGAAACAACAATTAATATATTCTTGAAAATGCATTAAATCTCTTTTTCCAGCATGAATATGTAGGACAGTGCAATCTTCTTTTGTGAAGAGTTTCATTTGTTCCAATATGATTTTTTTCAGAATTTGCAGCCTGAAAAATGATAGTGCCAAATTCATTCTGTTGAAGTTCTTTTCTTTCTCCTCTCATCCAACCCTATGCAAACCTTTCAAGATCATGCTTTAGCTGAGAAGCAGCAATCTTGCTAAAGACGGAAAGGAAAGTAGGATATAACTGTTCATTTTTCTCTTTTGCTATTATTATTAGTGAAAGTATTAGTATTATTATTTTACTATTATTTATTTATTTATTTATTTATTTATGAGACTTATATACCGCTTTAAGTGCAAGCACTTTCTAAGCGGTGTACACCAGTAAGCAATGTATATATGTATTTACATTGCCCCCAACGATCTGGATCCTCATTTTACCTACCCTGGAAGGATGGAAGGCTGAGTCAACCTTGAGCCGGTGAGATTTGAACCGCTGACCTGCTGAACACAGTCAGCTAAAGTGGCCTGCAGTACTGCACTCTAACTGCTGCGCCACCTCGGCTCTAATAGTAGAAGATGTAGAAAAGTGATCTATATTTCCAGATGCCCAGCTGATGATAAATCGGTTAAGTGGCAGATAAAGCCTTGTGAGGCTCTGAAAATTATATGAGCTAAAGAGAGAACATAACAACTTTAAATGGGCCATATAATTCTATATATATAGAACATATAGAATTTCCATTTATATGAGCTAGGTATATAATAAGATAACTTTCTACATGGAAATAGAAAAAGTTCTGAAAGATTTGAAGACAATGCCCCTTACACATTCTCTAAGAAATGCAAAATGTCCATAGCTTGTTGAGGCAGTGATATTTGAATTGAATTGAACTGAATTGAATTACATTTTATTTGGCCAAGTATGATTTGACACACAAGGAATATATTTTCAATACAGAAACACTTACTTTACATGCAAAACAACAGAATCATCATCATCATCATCATCATCATTTCCTCAATAAAAGCGGGGAGTAAAGAAGATAATAAGAAGGATAAATAACGATACAACCACACTACATGGGTAATATACATAGACATTAGACAGCACTGTAAGAATTAGGTATTCAACACAGTGATGGCACGGGGAAAAATATTTTTTGTGTGTCTAGTTGTTTTGGCATGCAATACTCTGTAGAACTGTTTTGAGGGGAGGAGTTGAAACAGTTTATGTCCTGGATGTGAGGGGTCTTCACAGTTCTCCTTCTGACCCACACAATATACAGGTCTTTTATGGAAGGCAAGCTGGTTGCAATTATTCTTTATTTACATATATATTTATGCAAATAATAATGATTTAATAGTAATTTTTATTATTAAGATGCATCCATGGATAGCTTTTTAAATACATTTTTGTTTCAAAGATGTATTTGAGGAGCTCTAAAAACTAACTTTAATCTTTAATCCTTATAATTGTTTTAATTGACTTTCAGGTAAATATGATAGTGTTATACTGGTATGACCATTTTAAATAGTTTTCATTTCTGTCCTTTACAAGGGCAACTCTATTATATAATTCTATTTCTATTTTTCAGGAAGCCTTTCCAAAGAAGAGGAGTGTTACATTGGAAGCAGTGCCATCTGTTTCTTCAGAAACATTTCCTGTAGAAAATGAGAATGGTCTCTGTGATTTTCTTGATACAACAGTTACAAAGAAACCTTGTTCTTTAGAAATAACAAGAGGAGTTTCATCAAAAATAGGTGTTTTACTGGTTTTCATCTTATAAGTATTACTATTTGTGCTACCTACTTTTTTGTTGATACTATTAGTTGATTTTGAGAAATATGCAGGAACGTTATTACTTAATGCTTGTCTGTGCAGGAAGCACTAACAAGCATTAAGGACAGGTCCAGCTGAGTTGTATTTGCTAATAAATTTGGCATTTAGAGAGAAGGATATTTATTGTTCCAATTTCTCCAGACCATCTCCTTGTGAGAAAGAATAAACCACAACAAAAAGTTATATGGCTATCTAGTGCTGCTTTTAGCTGCCTAACCCGAGGCTGTATTAGTGCTTAACAAATTCATGTCACTCCCAAATATGGTCCTAATATATATTTGAAACTAAAAGAGGGCATTCCTAGCTTTCTTGAGACACATATCAATTCAGTCAAAGTTGTATTAGCACTCAGTGGATATCCAGCCAAATGTCCGGACCCTTTTGAAAGATTAACTTCCAAAAATATTTTATAGTTTTGAATTCCTGTGGAAAAAAGACTGGTTTCCATTTTCTTCCTATCCAATACAGCTTGCAATGCTTTTTTTTCTGTCAGCATTTCAGTTTCCATTGTTCTGTGATACCTTCATTCCTGTTTCTAGAACAGTCCAGACCAAAGTATATAAACTGTCAAGATTTTTTCCTGGGGTGAACAAATGAGGACCAATGAGGAGGTGACTGAATTTCAGTGTCTGACTACTATAAAGTATAAGCTATTTTTTCCTCATATAATAAACTATGCGTTAGAGTAATCTTGACACTGTTCTGGATGTTTTCCTTATTTTTATTTTTTGCAATACTACTTTTTATAATTGTGATAGCTTCTCCTATTTAATATTTTAGAAGAATATAATCTGGGAAGGAAATGTCTTTTATTTATTTAAAATATGTATATAGCTGCTCATCTTGTACCAAACTCTGGAAGATTTATAACCAAGGCATAAAATCACATCTATGTATAATGAAAATATTTAAACCAAAGTCATTAAAGTTCAACAATATTAAAACCAAAAACATAATAAAAATTAGATGCAGTCTTTAACTGTATAATGGCATATAGGGGCAATTTATAAACTCCTTGCAGGTTCTGCTCTCTAGATATTATCCAAAAATGTCAGTATAATTGAAACAGGTTTTTTTCTACTACAGTAAATGAGAAAGCACTGATTTCTGAGCAATCACGTGCCATAATGCCTCAATATCAAGAAGGATAAAAGAATTGTACATACATAAAATCCAGCTGAAACTCTTTTAAGTTGTTATCCAGCATTCTAGATAGCTGTAGCTTGCAGGTAGTATTTAAGGACAGCCTCATGCATAGAATGCTGCAATAGTCCAAATGAGAATTAACAAGGACATGAGTGGAGTGAGCAAGAACTGCATCAAGGAGGAACTGCATAAAATTCCTGCTCATTTACCTATATGTATATACAAATTAAGTATGAATTAAGTATCTAAGTATATACAAATATTTAAAAAAAGCTTTTATGTATCTTAGTTTAGAGTCAGTAGTTACATCCAGGCTATATTCCTCTGTATAAAATTCCCACTTAAGACCATATCTAGACAGTTAATTTCACTCTTATGTTCATTTGAATGGTGATAGTGATGATTTTTTTAAAGGTCATTAAATTGGCTGGTGGGGCAGTCCAGTCACCAGTTCACATCCTGGTGAATGAGGTTGAGAAAGGTCCTAATGGATGAGCTATTTTTCCCACTAGTTAATTAATATCACTTGTTGGAACTTAGAAAGTCTTTAGTTTATTTTTGTATTCTTACACAGAAGGTATCAGAACTATAATTTTTAACCATCTATCCATTTTTAAGCAGAATATCATACTAATATTACTAAATGCTAAATTCTTTTCCCTGTCACACTTCCAGTTTCCCCTCTAGTCTTGACAAGCAATCTATTTCAGCCTGAATGGAAACAATTTGGATTATAAATCTAATAATTATAACAAATTATAAAATACTTAATCATTTGTCTTTAAAGCCATTTCCTGTTTTCACAGTATATTCTGTGTAATAATGTATAATCACCAGAACACTATTTTTATTCATAGATAATGCACCTCAAGTAGCAATTACTGCACCAGGTACTGGTAACCATAGAAACAGTTCAACAGGGCCAACACCTGACTGCTCTCCTCCATCACCAGATACTGCCCTGAAAAATATAGTAAAAGTTATAAGACCTCAGGTGAGTAGTCATAAATATATATTATTTCATTTGAGTTTATCTGATAATAATCTTTTTCTCTTTTAGGTTTCCAATATGAACATTGTAATATGGCTTATTTAAAGACTTTGAAATAAAATTCCTAAATATTGCAGATAGATGTATCTTGTTTAGATACGAAGACATGAATGTATATTATTATGTTAATATTAAATACACTACACTTTTTTGTCTGACAAACAAGTTAACAGATAAAGAACAGTCTAATCAGGGAACCACTAAGACCACTCCCACCAGTGCTGATAGGGCAAGCCACTAGTACATAAAATGAGAGCAAACCTCACTACCTTCTAGCACTGATCATGTTACTTAGTTTGGTAACAAAACCTCTGTAATCAAGAGAGCATCAGGGACTCTAAAGTTCAATCCTGAGCTACAAATATTTTCTTCTATTGGTATTTATAGACTTAATTTTAAATAAGTTTGAATTGAAAGTTTATCTAAGTATTGTATTGCCTAATTTTTGATATACATTAGAATTATACTGAATATATATTTAAATTGCTTAGCATACTTCCCTTCTGCTTTTCTTTCTGCCATTTGTGGTTTTTTTTTTACCTCGTTGACCTAGGCCACATTTATCTCCATTGATATTCATTGAATCCTGCAAATTATATGGATGAGGTCACAGTGATATGTCATCATGAAGATATCATAAATCAGTAAACTGAATCACAGCCAACCAAATTAAATAGCACTTGAAGTATAGAATCATAGATTTGGAAGGGACCTAGGAAGTCTTCTACTCCAAACCCAAGGCAGGAATCAAATGGTTGTCCAAGAGAGTAATGTCCCAAACTATATTAAATGGAAGCAGGAAACAATTAAAAATTAATTAAAAGACACTGATCAGTTTAGAATATTAAACATTTGGTAAAATATTTTTCCCAAAGATAGTTTATTGTCATTAAATTTGTTTTTTTTAAATAAACATATTTGTCTATATTGACTTTGTTTGGTAGATATTAGAAGAGAGCTTGTGCGCAACAACACCTGGCATTCTGTACCTGAGCAGCACAGAGCCCAGTTAATGTTCCTTTGCTCTCTTGGTTTCAGTGGAAGAATAAATCAGGTTTCAGTTCTTTATCTGGTGCTTTGATTTTTTGTGCATATGAATTACATATCATTTGTAGAATAAATTAAAATCAATTGGTTAATAAAACTGTAAAAAATTGTAGATTGGTTAGCTGGCCTGTGTAGAAACCATATATTATTTTAAATGCTTATTCCTGATTTGCACAAAATAATAAATCAGAAATCCAGCAAAGTGAAATCAGATCAATCATTTCTGTAGACTTATTTTCATGTATACATATATAGTAACATTAAACTATGATTTGGAATTTTATACATACTTTGGCAATTATATGTTTAATTTTTAGTTTAATTTATTGCTTTTCCTCAAAATCGGTATCCAATATTTAGACTTCTGGGGGTGGGGTATGGCAAACCAAAGATAGCTCAATGACCATGGCAAAGATCAAGGAACTAGTGAGTAGACTGATTCCTTGGAACCTTTCCAGAAAAGTAGAAGATGGATGCCCCTCACATGTGCTCCAGATTTCTCCACCTTTTAAGGAGACCATAGGACAGTGGTTATCCATGGATTTGATCACTGGGAGATGACGGGAATAGCCATCTTGCTCTCAACCATGGCAGATCCTTTTAAAGTTTGCAAATCTTATTCTCTAATTTCTTTCAGAAATGGCTTTCTAATAGCTTTATTAGAGACCTTCAGAATGATAAATTTGAAAAGTCTTTATTGGATAAGTTTATCTTCCACTCTGAATAAAAGAAAAAAATAATTATAAACTTAAGAAAGCATTTGAAATAAATAAGAAAACTAAATAAGATTTTGATCAAAGAATGTTTTAAATGGACTAACAGGCTAGATAAATTTTCTGTACTTACTTTTACTTTAACATCTTAGAATTAACTATAAAATAGCTTTTGGTAGGAAATAGATTTATTTTGGCTATCCTGGGTATTGTAAACCATAACAAAGATAAGTGATGATTTTAGAAACTAGATACTGGAGAGAAGTAAAGATTATAAAGAGAAAAAAAATACAGGCTTACAAGGAATACAAAGTTGTTTATTTGATCAAGGTTAAAATATGACTTTTTTTGCCAAGTTCTGGAAACCCTTTGTGGATTTTTTTCAGACACCAGGAATCAACATGTTTTATGGATTTGTTTATAGATAAAATATTACTGTCAAGTTCTGGTGAAATAAACCCAACAAAGTAAAACATTAGAGACATGATGATCTCTAATGTAAACTTTATTAGGTATAGCATACCGGTGCAATAGAATGAAAGCTAGCTCTGGCAATATGGCGGGAAACAAATAATTAAAAGAGAGAAACTTTCCCTCCCGCTTTGACAGTTCAGGTCACATTGTCAAATAAATCTTCCAGCAATTGTTAAGAGAAGAAAACATTTCTTCTGCTGCTTTGGCTCTCACACTGATAGGGAACACCTGTGGATCCCAAGCTCTTCCTTTCCCCTTCACAACTGTAGGCAAGGTAGACACTATGGCAGTCCTAATGACAATCGTTTCGTAGCTTGATAATTGGATATGAGGTGAAGAAACAGTTATATGTAGCTTTATGGGACTGAAGAGTTATTAAATGTGTTTATACTTATTGTGGTGAGAGTTAGAAGTCACTTCTTTATTTCTTTTTCTTTAATGTACTCTTTCTTTTTCTTTTTCCACCACTTTTAATTCTTTTTTCCATTCTACTCTTTCTCTAAGTTCAATTTATATAATAATACTATAGTAATACTATTATTATTTATAAAGTAATTACTATTGTATTAAAATTAATAATAAAATTACATTAAAAAATTTAGTATCCAATGTTTATACTATTTGCTTTTATGCTATTTTACTGCAAAATTCCTTTTATTTCTATAAGATTTCTTATAAGTCATATGTCTATCTGCACAGATATTTTCTCCATTGACTGGCAAGCATAAAAATGAAGAATCAAAATTATTGTTAGAACAAGCTGTTATGAGATACATCTTTTAAGTGCTATTTTCAACATGGAATTGTTAACAGATTATGGAGAGCATTGAATAGCATGCTCTTTGATTAATTCTTTACTAAATCAATGTCTGGACTTAATTGAAGTCAGTGACAAGATTCCCACTGGATTCTCTTAGAGAACATTATTCAAGTATATCATTCAATATTTTTGAAAGAGTGAATGAATTAATGAAATAAGGACCTCACTGTCAACCTTGAAGATTACTCGTTGTTTAAAAAATCAAATTATTTTGATACATATATATCCAATGCAGTAAGCTAGACTGAAGGGACACCATATAAGAAGAGACATGGAAACACACACACACACACACACACACACACACACACACAGAGAGAGAGAGAGAGAGAGAGAGAGAGAGAGAGAGAGAGACAGACAGACAGACAGACAGACAGACAGACAGACAGACACCCAAACAGAGGTAGAGAACATTTTTCTGCATTACTATGTTAAAATTTAGAGTGCTTTACTGAAACTAACTGTGGGGGACAATTTTTCTTCTGAAAACAGTCCCTGGTGCCAGAAAGATTGGGGACTGCTGTTATATAGTGCAGGGGTCCCCAACCTCTGGACTGTGGACCAGTACTGGTCTGCAGCTTGTTGGAAACCAGACCACACAAGCAACGGGCGAGCAAGGGAAATACAACTGGTCTACAGACAATGTTGTTTTAAGTAAGAATGAAAAATGTATTGGAGATTATGAAGATGCTGAGAAATTAATGGAAGGGAGAACATATTTAAAAGTCAAGATAAAATTCAGGCAAAGTAGCAAGAAACCTGGGAAGAGTTAAAAAAAACCTGTTTTAGACTCTCTTGGCTAATTAAGTCTGCCTGGAGGTATTGTGTAGTTAGACTCTGGTGTTGTTCTACTGCCCCTTAAGAAGACCTTGGTTTGCCTCCTCAAAAAACCATTCCACCATACTAAGCAACCTTTGTCTGGTGTCTAGCCTCCCTAGGGAAAGCTGTGAGAGGGTGGTTGAAGAGTAGTTTCAGCAGACCTTGAATGAAATGGCTTATTTGGCCCTTTTCAATCAGTACTAAGACCTGGGTATGGAATGGAGACATCATTGGCTGCACTTTTGGATGATCTATGGCACCAGCAGCATGGAGTATTGCATCTATCCTAGCTCAGGGCTTTTCAACCTTTTCACCCATTGTACCACTTTTAGGATATGGCAACATCCGAGTACCACCAGTTGCCTAGCAAGGTGTCAAAAACTTGATGACCCCCCCCAAAAAGGAAAAAAGTGATAAAGTACAGGCAGTCCTTGACTTACAACAGTTCACTTAGTGACTGTTCGAAGTTACAATGGCACTGAAAAAAGTGCCCCCCAAGCCACAGCTAAGCAAGACACCCGCCTGCCTACCCAGCCACGCTCTTCCTCCTCTCTGAGGTTTTTATTGTTGTGAACATTTCTGTTGAGGATTGGCATGGGGGTGGTGTGGTGGGGTGTTTGGTTTTTATTCCCATCTGCTGGGTGGTTGCAGCAAGTTTTGGTCACTTCACATGACCCTGGGACACTGATGGTCATAAATATGAATCAGTTACCAAGCATCTGAATGTAAATCACAAGACCCTGGAGATGCTGCAACATTCCAGCTGATCGGCGCTTCTTCTGGGCTCAGCAGAAGCACCAGGATCAGTGTCGAGCTCCAGCTGGAGCTTGGCACTGATCCTGGTGCTTCTGCTGAGCCGTGACAGCCCTGCAGTTCCAGCCATCTCTCGCTCAGGATTGTGTGGTGCTGCCACCGATTCAGCTCATTCCCCTCCCCCACTACCACCTTTCTAGGATGGTTGCATACCACCTGCCAGGTGCAAATGTATCACAGGTGGTACCTGTACCACTGGTTGAAAAGCCCTGTCCTAGCTCTTGGCAGCCTCTCAGCAGCCTTTGATACCATTAACC